CAAGACGGTATTGGACGCCACAATCCCACTTACGCCTTTAAGCTTGGAGATCACAAGCTTAAAACTATTTTGGGGTGGTGGTACAAGCCGACATAGATTGTCCAGCGCAGTCCTTGAAGGCGTCCAAAACCGCTAACCAACACATTGGTCTCTTAAGGAGGAGCGTCCGGGCCGTTCGACCCCTCCATCTTCCCCAAAATGCTCAGTGCGTATGTGAGGTGCCATGTGGAGTACGCGAGTCAGGCCTGACAACCCTGATTAAAACGCAACCTGCTTGCAGTGGACACCGCACAGCGAAGGGCAACAAAAATGTGAAGGGAATGCTCCAACTGCCATACCATCTACGACCGAAAACTTTAGGAGCGTACAGTGGAAATTATCGCCGTCTACGTGGGGACCTCATTCTAGCGTTCCAGATCATGAGAAACCCCTTGCCGCCCACACTACCCGCTGTTACAAAGGGACTCGACGATGCATTACAACACCTATATTACTTGATCTGATTTCTGCTCACTTAGTAACAACAGCACGCAGATAAAGCTTGTGGCTCTCCAACCCACAGGAAATCGGTGTGACCGGTTACATATGCGTGTGTAAACGGATACACATGTGTTAACGAACATAACTTGACTGACAGCGGATTGATACTTAAAATTACTGCGGTGAGTCCACCAGTGTGAGCGTAAATAATGCTGACAATTTTTCTTGTCCTGTGCATTCACTATGAAAATCTTGTGGGACCAGTTAAGCTACAGCTTTTTTACACCTATAAAACCATTGTCCCATAACGCTGACTCGATCCACAGCCTAACGTATGGAACATCTCAACCTTTCTGGTTTAGGAAGCACCGGTTGTCGCGCGAGCGTGTTTGTTGATGGAGTGCGCGTTTCTGGTTCACCGTTGCAATCGAGGAGAGTGGGCCAGCTGGACGAAATTCAATGTGCCTGGTTCTTTTCACTCAAGCCATGCTTGCGTCAGCTCCGGTTCAATGTGGGGCAGTCCCTGGAGCGGTGAAAATGGTACAAGGTCAGCAGATCATGTCTCGGATGAGATTGGAGGCAAACAAAACATTGGTCGGCTATTCCACGCATGGGGGGTGGTAAGTAGAATACTTTGCGGTTCGGTTCAATTCGTCGCTGAAATGATGAAAACTAATGATGAGAACAACTCAGTAAGCATAGAATACGTTTGTATTGAGAAGCCATTTATTTCTTCTAGAGCATCACATCGAGTATCCACTGTTAACTGTTCATATTTACTCATCCTCGTCCGATATACTCAACCAGCATCTACTTTATTCCTGCCTGATGCAGAAGGTGTGGTAATGGGTACAGGTGATTCATGAGAAACTGGGCGTACCCGACCCTGAGTCTTTCGTCAACGCGGACAATCATACTCGCGTCGTTTCTCTAGCAACATATATATTGGTGGCTTATAATTGGTGGCTTATAATGAGTCTATTTTTCACATTATTCGCAGTCTATCCGTTCGCAGCGCATTTCTGCCGCATCCAAGCAACGAAAACCAAGATACGACACTTACATGAAAGTTGACGCTAGTTGCCTCCAAGCCGGATCTGGAATGATGAGCAGAACGGTCCATTGCTTCCAGTCGGTCTTAAAGACAAGTGGTCCTAATATTGTTAGTTGGGAGCAATGTATTGGAAGATACCAGTTAGTGAACCGGATACTTCTATACGTCGTACCAGGAAAGTCTTGCGATGACGGCTTCCTCAAGTCCATTATATATATATATATATTTTGAGGCCTACAACATACCATAAACATTTACGGGGACCAAGATGGGTATTACGCTAAGTTAACACAAAAAAGGAAAACGGCTATCCAGTTTTGTACACTGTTGTTTCGTTTGCGTCAGTTTCATTGCATGCAGCGCTGGACGCAAAAGTTAATACAATTAGACCACATATCTTCCACTAACCATCGTTTCACGCCATGTCTTCAAATGTTTCGAACCAAAGACGCCATTAGTTCTAGGGTTCCCAGCTATTACGACCAAGCATGATGTTAGCAATCCTATGTTCGGCCAAGAAATGGAAAGCTGACCACGGGGTTTTTTCCAACCCAATCCTTCACGAACAATTAGGACGCGGTGTCCCAAATGCTCGCATGACAGGTGCAGAACGAGACCGAACTACATCAATTGTTTCAGTAAAATATGCCAGTCGAAATGAATGCTCGCAGTTTCTTTGGCACGAATTTTAATTTCATCGCTGTGGTCTCGTGTTACCACCACACACGAGCAATCCACCTTAATTACACCCAAATCCAGCACTTGCATATGACTACATTGCTCAGACGTAGGCTTTATATGTCCGGCCCTTTAACCAGGAATGGACGTCCTAACGGCACCACTTGTGCACCAGGCTTGCCAACGCCGACCGGGCCTATGAGGTACAAAAATCTACTTTCCAGCAGCTTAAATGACTCTCAAATTCAACACAAATGCAGGGAGACCAAGTTGTCTGCCTGTTCAATCTGCGTACCTTCAAGAAAGAAAGGCTGAATGCCAATAGTGGAGCGGCACTGTGCATTTCATGGAGGAAAAACACATGGAACGGCAAGGTGCCTCATACAACAAACGGTTCCGATCAACCGGCGTCAACTAATTGGTGCTAACTAGTCCACCTTATATTAAAATTCCACAGGAAATCTAAATGGATCAAGAGCCTTGGATCGCTTCGTACGTCGAATCTCAATTCAGAGTCGTAATATGTTGGGTGGATCTAGTGAAGTGGCAGAGGGCGAGTAAACGAGTAGGTTAGACACATAAGCAGTCACTGAGAGCTAGCTCTACCCAACGGTAGAAGCGCCTCCATTTTGCTAACAGTTTCACCATGCATATCGTGGTCGGTGGATCAAATCCGTCGGAAGTTTGCGAGCCATTTCAGAGGTGGTAGCAGTATCAATTTCGAAGCCGTCTGGCTAAAACATGACAGTGGGATGGTAACTGCATGAGAATCTTGAAGAGAATTTGAAACGCTCGTAAGCATTACGCGTCTGCCGGCAATCAGTAGTTCAACGAAATCATAACTAAAGTATCTGAAACTTGCGTATTAATGCTTTCTGATCAAACATTGACTCTATCGCCACACATTGCAGCAAACATAACCAACACAATTTGTTCAAACGTCTACACTCCTATAGTAGTGCATACTACCGTCGGACCTGAGTTATCAGTAAAAGGATAAATAGTCGTATCTGAAAATGAATCGATAGCGAAATCAGTAAGGAAGTGAAACATTCAAGGTTCTCATATATAATAATTTGCCCCAAACATTACCCGGAAAAGGTGAGGCTGACCAAGAAGTCAGACTATTTGCAAATGTTTGGTTTCAGTCGCCGGATGGCTGTAATCTTCGACAAATCGAAGTAAGCTTGTAATATTCTGTCTGCTGATAACCCTGAACGCGTCACGAGGGTTTTCGCACAAAGTACAATTGAGCAGATGTTGGTCAATTCAGCTGGCAGAACTCTTATGGCTACTCGTTTGTAATTTCTATCGATCGTGTTCAATGATCTTAGTTGATAGCCTTCTCTCGGTTTCCTCAATGTTCAGGTTAGCTTAAATGTAGCGGTATCCAATGGCTTTCCCTATTGATCGCTTTTCATTTACATTCTTTTGCTACTTCCATAAATCGATGCATGTTCTTCCTCCACCAAATACAGCGATTCACGTGCACGTCGTACAACTGCATCGGTTCCTTCATAACCGACGCCTACTTGCCTTCATGCAATACGTGCATTTAACAAATTGAAAGCTTATATACACAGCCTATCCGTTGCTCATACTCTCGAGGTAGAAACTTGGAGGATTCGCCACAGGTGTAGTCTGCTTAATAGTCAGTACAAATGGGAACTCATCTGATTTTAGTCAGTAACCCTTATCTTGAAGGGCTCAAGTTGCACTTGACAGTGATCTACGCTGCAGGATCACGATATCATATCTAAGTCCACCGGTTGCCACTAGGCTCTCTGAACAATTGATTCAATCCGCTACCTCAAAATTGGTGTGTCGCAAATTTCGGCAGTGCTGAGTCCGAGGATATCTGCTGACAAACTGAGTACTAAACGAAAAACTACCACCTAGTGTTTTGCAAAGTATATCATTGATATCCGTATTAGCCAAACGACAGAGCTTCCTTGACGTATTCCAGATTCGCCTAGTACAAGTAGGATATCGGGATTCTGAATCAGACCAGCAATAACGAATGCAGGGAACATCGGTCTTATTGTCATTATGTTGTAGATAGAGACTTACTACTCACCATCGGATCGTTATCGCTGGTTCGCGACTGTATGACCGTTGGCCAACGAAGTGCACATATATGTTTAGTCACAAATAGACGAAATTGTCATCCACTGCCACTCCGAATGGGTTTGCTTTTGGTGAATTCCGTATAGTGCATTTTAACCCCCTAGTATCTCATCACAAAGATTATTCCGCCCAAAGCATAGGTGACATCATCGTTTGATTGGAATGATGCGTTTGAGAAACATTTACACGCGGTTGAAGTGGATGGTCTACCCCACTCTGTACACTACAGTAATGCGATGCTCAGTGGAGACTGAGATTTGACAGATCAAAACTAGTTTTTCTTCGAGTTAGTTGCAGAAGTATGCGGAAGCTCATAGAATTATGTCTCTATGGATCGAATCTGGTTTACATGTTCGAGTTTCTCAAAGGGCCGTGGGACTGCTGACAACTCCCGGCAGAAGGAAATGAACACCTGATGTTTTCCGAGTAACGGTGACTGTCTACCTCGGTCTACTTTTATAAAATTATATGCGAAGTTTACACATCCGCGCCATTCCTTCATGCACATCGTTTCTACAATCTACCTCTGGTGATTCCGTACAAATTAAACTTTTTATCTCCCTCTGGATTCGCGCTACACGTGTGTTAAATTTCTTCCGTCAGGCTGTGGGCAGCAGGTTGCGTTATCTGATCAGCTCAATGGCGGCGGGGCCTGGTACCCCGAACACGGTGCCAGTTTGCCGTGGCCAAACATCTGTCGAGAAACAACAGGACTCCCAGTTTCGACAGTTCTCCGCTTTGGACACTGAAGAAAATTTTTTGGATGATGGTGAGCCATCGAGCTAATCCGTTACCATTTCTCATACAAAATAAGTTTGACCAATTTATCAAGCAACTCTATACTATCTTCCATGCGTTATTTTCGAGGTGTTCGTGAATGAGAATCGTGTACTGGCTTTGGCAGATTGACCGCACATTCCATTTTACCGTTGCTACTAGACTTTACACTCAGTCTAAAAACCCTATGAGCGATACTCAAGTGATTAGCCCGCAAGCGCAAATCTGGATGATTTCGCTGGTGATTCCCCACGTACCGACTCAGTCTCTACACGTAAGAAAAAGCCTTGAACGGCTCTTTTATCCTTCCCGGTCTCATTCGCTGTGTTCATTTCACTTGACAGGCCAGTAAACACAAACTACGACTCTATTCTCTCACGTTAGTAATTGAGGCCACGGGATTGCTGATGAATGCGGTGGCCTATATTAGCTACTGAACAACTACGATACAACGGGACTAACCCATATCCGACATAAGTGCTTTTCATATGCCGAAGACAGAGCTATCCGCTAGAGCATAGTTGTGATGAATCTTTTTTGAAACAGTTCCATTAATTGGTATTAGTTCCCAATACTCGGTAACTTACCAAACGTTCATTTTGTAGCCGAATCACTGGCTCTACGAGTTCGTTGTTCAGACCGAATAGCCATTGAGAGTAGAAACAAGCCTGTATCTGCATCGCATTTTGGTACACCTCCACTTTAAAGCAATAAATACGTTACGCTGATGGACATCTGAGTGTCATTAACTTCTTTCTAATCCATCGCTCTGGGGATTCAATGCTGAAGTGCGAAGTCATAGTTCTTATAACTGATGGCCAGAAGACATTCAGGTGCTGCCCTCCGCGGGCGTGTAAAATGTCAACTAAATGGCTCTCGACACTTATGTGTCTTGCTCGCGCATAGCGTTACATTTGTTAGACCGATCAATTCGAAAGTGTTTTAGGCTAGCTCTGACTCAACTGATGCCCCAACTCTGCTTAGTTTTCCTACGACCATCGCAATGTAGACATGGAGCTAACCTGTGGCTCATACCAATAAGAGCAACATCTAGTCGGAAGCTTAAGCGAATATTTTGCCATTTAACAATACTAAACTGGCGATAATTTCATCTTAATAAACTGACAGACCAGTGATCTCATAATGAAGGTTCTCTGCTATCTGTCATTGGTGTTTGACGGCTGATCAAACCATGGGTCACCCGTCCCTCAAAATACTTCAGTCATAAACGAATACTTTAGCTCTGGGCATATTAGTTGTTTTCGTGTGAAGATTCCCTCTATTTGGGAGAGCAAACCTTGTTTGGCCTTGTGAATAGGCTGACAAGGAATCCAATTCCCCTCTGCTCTAAGATCGCTCTTTTCCCTGCGCGACCACGGCGAACGCTGTTGCACACACTTACCTCATTCGCCAAACGACCGTGTGAACTACATTGCCGGGGTCGTTTCATGGCCAGCAGAAATTGCCACCGCGTTAACCCAACGGCTGTTCTGCGGTGCGGTAAACAACGCTGGGTGCTATCAACAAAACTGCTCCTTTTGTGAACTCATCTGGGCAAGTGGGTAGCGCCTGAAATGCACACGATTCACTGGACGTCGTGGGCAGTGACATTTCCAAGTCAAATCACCAATACTGGGAATTGGAAGAAGGAAAGCAAGGCGACTAATGAAAAACAGATTTCATAACATTATGGTATAACGGGTGGCCCACATTCGGAAGATGAATATTCAATGCGCTAGCATTGTGCCTGACATAGAGCCCAACTGTAAACTGATAACCATACCACTTTGAGAAGAATGATGAGTTGTTTAACAGTGGAATGTTTTACAATGCGCTAGGATGCGTGGACTGCTTGGAAGTTTAAACGTTCTCACTGCTAGTGTGAGTGTTGTTAAACGCACAAGTTCGCTTACAACTCAGAGACTAGCACTGAGCTATGGGTGACGGGGTTGGATTGCCATAGCTGTTTGCTAAGTGTTATGTTGGGGCGCCAGAGTTGCAGACACGGAAGTGTTGCGCCGAAGTGGGATGTATGCGGTGGATGGTATACTTTTACTGCGACAACTGAGATGCCTCGGTCATGTGAGCCGCGTGGATTCGACGCGGATACCGAAACAACTTTTATACGGTCAGCTGAGTATAGGGAAGCGGCATGCTGGGAAACCAAAGTTACGTTACCAGGACATGATTAAAGTGAGCCTCACACGTTCTTATCTTGATTGCAGATCATGGGAATCGAAGGCGATTGATCGTGGTGCATGGCACGATCTAATCACGAAGGCAGTTGCTGAAGTGCGGGAGAAAGCCCTCATCCATGCAGAGAAGAAGCGGCAAGTGCGGAAGCGGCGAGCACCAACGAATTGTACTCCATCGACATCGTGTGCAAGGTGCTGTAGAACATGCCGTCGCGAGTACCTTAGTCAGGCAGGCCTAGTGAGCCATGAGAGAGGTCACTCGGGACCACTGCCGAAGCGACGACGGGTCCCGCAGTGAAGGTAGGCAGCACCGGCGCAGCGTTTGTAGGCACGCTGAATTCGATTTACTAACTGCGTGCTTGCATGCCAAGTCTCTTTATTTCAGGTGGTAGGTTTTCGGTTCTGTCCTAATGCCTTTCTTTCTCATATAAATGTCTAGTGGGCCATGAGCTATGCCATTAGGGGCCACTACAGAAGCGACGACGGATCCTACAGAGAATTACGGCGAGCCGGCGCAGCGTTTGTAGACACGCTGAATTCGATTTACTAATCGCGTGCTTGCATGCTAAGTCTCTTTATTTCAGGTGGTGGGTTTTCAATTTTATCACAATGATTTTCTTTCTCATATAAATATCTCCCTGTACTCTATTCCATTAACTTGCACACCTCGCCTAAACCGATTGTATTCGATTTCCATAACATTTTTGTGTTCGTGGCATTCCGTAAACTATACTTTCTGACCTCGTGCACTTAGCTTGGATTTGTTTGTAAACAACTTATTACGAATGCTATTTAATTAAGGTTTATGTCACCGTTGCCTTATGCATTAATCGAGTTTTTCTCTTCTCTTTTCCTCTCTCCCTTTCTCTCTCAAGTGATTGATTGTCGTTTGATATCCCCGGTGTGGCTGCGCTTGATGTGCATGTTGACAAGGTGCCTACCTGTCTATTACCCACTATCTCGTCCATACTGGCTCTAGGAGACAGTTGGTCGTTGCTGGAGGGGACGGGGTGCACGGTTCTTGTGGCCGTGCTAGGCTCGAAGAGTGGTTCCGTGCACTCAGTGTGGAGCGGACTACGGTCCAGCCAACGCCTTGTACGCGCTTGATTTCCCAAATACAGCGTGCTTGTGTTTGCCTGTGAAGGTGTGTGGGCCGGCTCCGTTGATGAAACGTGGCTCCCATCCACATGCCTCCCGGTCTTATTCCTTCGGGTTTACACTGGAGATGGGGTGTGTGAATGGAGCTGTGGGTGGTGCAGCGCAAGCCATCCATGGTCCCTCTGTAGGCGCAGGCGTCCTGTGGCTTGCCACAGTGACAGGCAAATCCGAAACCGGATGCCGCCAACCATGTAGCGCTGCTCATAGTTCACTACCGCGCACACTACTGCATTGAAAAGGACAGGACTGGTCCTCGGAGTCAAGAGTTCCCGTTTTAAGCAGCTAAATATCTAACTGTATTATAGTCCAAGTCGGGTGGGTGTGTGCGGCCGATAAGTTTCAGCAGTACGAAACGGTCCCTCCATGTTTGGTAGATGTCCGTTTGCGTTGAGCCTTTTAACAAAACCTTGGAAATCGCTATTGTTTTCGTTTTTATTCAGAGTTCTGCTGATGGGTAGAGGATTATGGAGAGAGTTATTCATGCTCATGATCACTAGATTTCCTGGCACTCCGTAGGTCATTTGTCATAGGTATGAATCCAACATACAAAACTGTATTTCATATTGCGGGAATCTTAGTGAATGTCACCTGGATCGCAAGGTTGCAACTCTTTGAAGCATTCGTAATATGTCCTCGATATAAAAGCAGTCACACTACTGTATTTCCAAGTGGTTTTTGTATGCAAGGTGGATGGGATACAGAGAGGACTCGATCGAATACGTTGTCGGTCCAATGTGTTTATCTTACTGAGCACTCTAGCACATGTTCCTGCACGGCCAGCTGTTGAATATTACTTCTACGCAGCAAAGATTAAAATCTGAGGCAGTGAGATGATGAGACGATTCACTGTGTTCACGAAGCACTCACACGTACAATGTCAGTTAGTCTACATCATCTTCCCACTTGAAACCACATCGCTATGGAATGTGCTGTGCCTGAGAGCCAGCATGTTGTTGCGCATCACTTGTTCTTTCATGACCATGTATCTCACTTATCTGGGATTTTTGGTCATAACTATCAAATTATTTACCCTCATAGCCTCAGTTAATATGACCGGTGACAGTTGCCCGCATGCACTGCTTGCCATGGGAGTTCAGCTGCTGTTGGAGATTACCACCTACCTGCGCGAGATGCAACGACGAGTACCGCCGTTCGGACTTAATGAGAGACCCCAACAGCATCATCCAAGCACTGGCAGAACATCACGACGTCGTTCCCGTGAACACAGCCATGAGAGGTCCGGATCGTTACTAAAGAGCTCAGCCAGCTCATTTTCCGGTCCAGGCACTTCGTTCAAAGCAGCTCGGAGACGGCTCAGTATTCTTATGCCCATATTTGGTTCCGGAGGTTCCGTGAACGCTGGTGACGCTGGTGAAGATGTAGAGGAGATCGCTTCTGCAGGTAAGAAACCAGATCCAACCAAATGAGTTAATCGCTTTCCAGAGAATATGAACAGACTACATGGTTGGAAGTTAGAGATTATCAGTCCTGTCTCTTTCGGCTTGTTAAAATTTTAAATCAACTGATTCTATTGAAATCGGGAAAGATTATCCCAACTACACAAATAAATGTCAATCTAAGGATAGCATTCAGGATAAAAATGTTCAGCTACCTGGTTTTTCCACAATCATTTCAGGGAGCGGTGACTTGATTCCTGGTTGCTAGCCTGCTAGCTAGGATGATTCTTCGTTTAACTGAACTCCACGAGAACATCAAACCCATGCATAATCAGGAGGTAAAGCAAAAGCAACAAAGTGGACGTGCGTCAAGCGGGAAAGGACATCCTCACGAAAGCAAAGAGGTGTGTGTGTACCAGTGATCCTGCACATTGCCTGATGCACAACCGGGTGCACGTTTCCTATGTGCCACCGAAAAATCTTACACCATCCCGTTCGGAGCGGAAAAGTTTACAGTTGGAAAAGCAGGACGTGTAATCATCCACCTTCTGTTGGCATCATTTTTAAGGACACTTTTTAAATTGTGATTTAAGCATTGATTTAATTAGAACAAGTTAGGTTAGCCAAAATAATTTCGGAGTATTAAGGATTAGCGTCTTTTCTGAATGTGCAGTCAATCAAAATAGATAGCACGTGAATTCATTATCTTAAATCATAGCTTTTAAATTGTCCTTAAAAGTCGTCAGCAGGAAATGGATTAAAAATAAAATGTTCCAGGTTTATAGTTCTGATGACTTCATGTACGCAACTCATGCAAAAGGATAGACGTACCGCTTAGCCTATGAAAGCCTCCACTACCGATAGTTAGTCCCCACTTCAGTGGGAAGTCTTCTAATGAAGTTTGAGCAAAATACAAACTCCTTGTTGTATGTACTGACAAAAATATTAGGTCAACCATCGTCTCCACTGTCAGTGCTATCTGCAATCTATGCCAGTGCGGAGAACCGAAAGAGTGCACATTGAAAGATGCTGCGTAATTCCTGTGCAAAATGCACTAGAGCTCGATATTAGGTGTTTGAGTCTGCTGGCGCTTGCAGATCATCACATTGTCCGCACTTCCATAACCGCTTTGAACCGCTCAATGAACAGCTTATGGGGGGGGGGTGGTTGGGCTTCACTACTACCGACTCAACCACACGACAGTGTTCCAGCGTGAGAAAACTGCCATCTTTGCTTTGACTAACCCATAATTTTCCCAATATTATCACACTGCATCCATTCACTATGCTTTCATTCACACTTACAGCCAAATCTCTTAGCCCCCGTCGAAATTTGGCATCCCGTCGGATCAGCTTTGCCGTGTTCAGTGACTCGAAAGACGCACGTGGTTCCCTAGTGGGAAGCGTAGATTCCCTGGACCATTCACCAGATTCCGGCAAGTCTGAAACCACTGTATTGAAGTGTGTAACATATGGGATCATGTTTTAATTGATTAAACGTATACAGAATCACTAGTCTATTTTATCGTTTCTATTCTGGATCTTGATTGAATTCTTGAGAAGGCACGAACCAGAGCAAAGTATGGGAATGGGCAGCGCCTCTTATTGCAATTCCATAAAATATGATTGGGGAAGAAACTTGGATTAAAACTCTTATCCCTTAATCCTGGTGTGTAGTTTCAAGTCTCCAGAAAGGACATCTTTGTTGATACTTCGGGAGTACCGGCTTGTTTGGTTGCTGATATGTATACTTAATGGCAGCCGAAAAACATCTTAGCGGTGGAAAGCTAATGAAACGTAATTCCAGACACGGTGATCGGTGCTGTAGATCAGATGAGTTTGACGCGCACGCATATTTCAGCGTGGCACACGCGCACTTCGAATCATGATTCCGTAGATGGAATCCATCATCGAACACAGCAATTTCCTGTCCCGAGTGCGACACACTCAAACTAGAAACCACGATCCACCTGCGGTTAAACCTCCGGCAGTCTATTCACTTGGACCATAGTCGAGGTAGACGTTTTGGTGTTACTAGTTCCCAACAGGTCTCTCCATAACCGGTGTCGTCCTCGTCTAACCTATTCGGGTAGGAACAACCAAAACTGTGAGTGGAGCTCAGCATATAGCGATTGACGGCTGACGCCTTGTTCACTAGGTCAATGAGCTCCGAAAACATTAATGGACACAGTGGTGGGGAATTCAATGCTACGCTACGAAATGGCCCGCTATGTCTGGCTTGTGAAAGGGCCGCAAGCAGAACCACTGTTTTATAGGCAACAACTCCAGGTTATTCCTATCATTCGGACATCATCCGAAGTGTAAATCTTATCGCTGCCAACGCGATAGGATGGTCGGGTATTGAACTAACTAACCATCCCCTTCCAGTCATGTCCATACGCACGAAGATTCTTACGGCAATTTGTGCAGCTATCATTTCATTTTCATGTCTATGGAATGGTTGCCGATTCTGTCTTTCAGGTGTTATTGGTCGCTGTTGCCATGTAGCCACTTAAAATTTACTCATTGTCCTACCCGCTAAGCTTGCCACTCCACTTGTTCTCAATTATTCTTAGCAATAAAAAGTGGGGTTCGCACGATGTGCTCATGCATTTTCGCTTGAGGAGCCTAACCACATATCCCGTCACACATTCCTTTACAGAAAAGCCTGCACTAAACAAGCGACTGTTGCGACACCATCGTGGATCAGGAAGTTTCAAACGGCTTGAGCCTAACGCACAAGAATCTCTGGGAGGTACGTTAGAGTTGCAAATTTTTAATTCTAGTGGACAATACATGTCTACCTATGTTTGCTTACACATGCTTCGTCAGTCTTCCAGGAGATCTTTTTGAAAACACGGTCCTATACATGGTACACTGGGCAGCAACAATCATAATGTCACAGTCAAGACTAAGACAACGTAAAAGAGTGTTTCAAGAGTTTCTGTGCAGACAACACAGGTTAATAGACCCCAATTAGCAAACCCTCGCGGTTTGCCAAAGTTATCGGGTTTTTTTTGTGCAAGACCACCTTGAACGCAGTCTCCGGGTTCACATGATGATGGTGTTATCTTATGCTTGGTTGTAGATGATGCTAGGCTCCAGTACACTATCGGATCCGCACTGCTTTTTTGCGTCATCACTTATCCTAACCACTTTGGCGTAGAAACCTTGTTCTCCATAACCGTCAAACCAGCTCCTCATGCAGTTTGACCTCACCTTTTTTATCAGTGCACCTACAGTTGCAGTGACATTTGCACACACACCTCTGACCTTCACTTACCTCTGAGAATAGCTGAACGTTTACCCAAGTGGAATAAGAAAGAGCGTATCTCGAGGTACGCCTAGCAGTCCGCGCTTTTCGACACCGCATGGTTTTTTCACCAACATGCTTGTCCACCAACACTTCCACAATTCGAGCGAGCCGTAGGGAGACGTGTACAATAGCTTGAGTTATGTGCCACCTCACCACTAATTTCAGGCCACTTACAAGACGCATACCATGGTCTTGCAGTGGCCCGAAACAGAACCGAATCCGACAGTTGCGTAGCTAGTGTGGTCGTTGTCTCTTTGTACTCTACCAAGCACCCAGACACCTCGCCGTTGCAAAGCACCCAGCAAAGCTATCAATCTTGGCTCGGTCACATTGGAAACTGTAGACTACGTCTGCTTGTGGCGCAATCTAAGCATGAAAAATATGCCAGTGGCATTGTTGTATGTTTTTATTTATACACAGCACTCTTCCCATCATCAGCTGGATGTTTACAGAGCCACCATTCGGGTTAAGTAGCATCGATTTTGCTTACCCTTCTAGGGTTGAGATATTCATGATTGCCTATTTACTTAACGTTCTTAGAAAAAAGTCTAACTGGGCATGCGCATTAAACAGTAACTTATTAAGCTAGACACCAGCACCCAAACGATTGTTGTTAAGTGGGTCGGGTCATGTCGCAGCGCACTTTGACACTTACATATCATTCTCACATTCCTAAATAATGCTGCCAGGTATGGACTTCTTACTGAGCACCTCTGTAATGATCACACCACTGAAACCGTTACTACCTTGATCATTGGAGCCCGGTAAAACCACCTATGCGCTACCTTTGCTTCCTCCTAAATTTTACATTTGCATTTTGCGTTATTCTCTATTATTTAAATCACACTTAGAGTGGCCATACATTGACGTGTAGGGTGGTGATTCAAATAATCAAAAGCTTTACTGTGCCTTGGTGAATAGGATCACTGAATTCCTCGATATACCGCTATTGTGAGCTCCCTGGCAAACTTTTATTCTGTCCACCGTTGCTATCTGTAGAGTGAAGAGATGAAGTTTGTATGAATGCACTCCATAAAACCCGTAAGCCTACCTGGGGCGAATTACAGGCAAAGTGTGTAAAAGTGGATTTGAATTGCTACGGGCATTGAGCATCCAAATATTTCGGTTATTAACTTGAATTGATATCGCAGATAGCTTGGGATACGAGCAGAAAAATTATGAAATCTAGGGGTCTCATGAGCGGAACTACTAAACCAGCACATGGAGAGTTGAGAAGCCCTTGCCATTATCTGGACGAGTATTTCGGGTAAGCAAACCAAAGTAAATGCACAACTCTCGCAAAGACTTTCATTGGCTTGTCTAATGTCGGTCAAGTACGTTTCAAACTCGCATAAGAACTGTTCCAGAATAGCGTAGAAAATCTCTGAATAGGAGACCATTTTGATGTGCTCGTTGTGTGTGAACACTCAGCTACTGCCGTCGATACACGTTACTCTTCCATCAAACCTAAAGTTCCATTTCACATTGGTTCCTTTAACGTCCGCACTCTAGATCAGATCGGCCAGCAGATAGCAACAACGCGCACACTTCACTCTCTTGTTAGTGATATGTATGTGTCTCCGAAATACGAATATAAGATAACAGCGTCATGACGAATCTTCGACTCCCTGGTTCTGGATCTGGCGAAGATGACTACAATCTTCACGTCTCTAGCGATACTGAGTCCTTAGCGCAAAGTATTTACGGTGTTGGTATTGCCCTCATCAAAAATACGGAAAGGAATCTGCTTGACTGGATACCGGTGAACAGCCGATGTGTGTGGTTCGACTTCGAAGCTTTCTGAAGTTAATAATCATCATCTAGAACCTAGATGCATTCTCATCGAAATAATTTATTTCCTTAATGAATGGGGAAGGTGGCAAAGAAGATTTCTAATCACAGCCCTCATCTCTTGGCATGACTAAGAAAATTGACATCGTGATTGATGCTGGTGAGATGAATGAACAATTAAGTTGTTTTTCAGACTCTGTATAGCACCTGGGCGGCCAATTCGGAGTCAATAGGCCATGGTGAGCGATTCCTACAACAGTATGCAAACCGCAACCTTTAACTTAGCAGCACTGCTTTCGAGAACAAACGTTCACACTGCGTCACCTGACGCCTACCGAATTCCTCTATGACCTGGACCCAAATGGACCACACTGCCATCAACCACAGATGGCGCAAACCTGTAAAAGGCAGTCGGTCAAGTTGAAACACGTTCCTGAATTCCCAGCATGCTCTAGCGCGCATGATTGGCGCAACAATTCCAGTTTCGAAGAAGCGCCTGTCTTCTAACCTCCTTACCAGTAACATGAAGTTGCCTTCTGCGATTCAACAATATCATGATAAAATTGCCGACCAATTGTCAGTGAGGAATGAGCTTGATGAGCCGAAGGCTGACTAGGATCGTCTCAAATGTGCTATGAAGAATGCCTTTGACGCACGCTGTGCACCCGACTTAAGACGTCGTAACTGTGAATGGATCTTTGAAGCATGGATCAACTTGCTTGAAGCACGGAAACATGTTCCGATGAGCACTGTGTTTCAGCGTGTCCGTAACTCTCTGAAATGACGCACTGCAATGAGTCTTCGGATCAACCGGGAACGTTAGTGGATGGTAAAGGCCGGTGCGATGGAGAAACCCCGTGCTATCATGAACATTATAATCCCCATCCTCATCAATACACGTTAGCTGAGGGTGAGAAACACATTGCATCTAATGTGATGCAATAAAAATGGCAAGATACTAAAAGAATTATACTACAAAGAATTCCAGAAGCAAGTACTATAATGTTAGCAATCATATTACACATTTTGCGTGTGATCTTAATTCGTAAGGGAATATAAAGAGGAAGGAGATGGACAAAGAAACTCACAACACGAACGTCATTGGGGCCCACTCCTTGTCCTATCAGCCAGTGTGCCGACCACACGGGGTCATCTTCCTTCGGACACCATCCAGGCAGTCGTGGAACACTAACAGACGCGAAGTTCGAAATGGAGGAGTTCACTCGTCTCGACCAAGTCATCGCTTGGCCACTCCTCTTCCTGTTCCATCCAGATCCCCGGCGCGCTAACAGTGCACACCACGGAAGTCGATGTGCTGGCATGCGCAACACGTAGCCAGCCATCGGAGCCCGGTGCGTGACATAATGGTGTTGAGCGGTTCACTCGCACTTCCTGCACCAAATATGCGACGCCCCAACACGCCCATTGATCACGCGGTTCTCCCACTAGATATGAGCTGAGCTGCGAACAAAGGGATCATCGACCGTGACTAGCCTCTTTATGTCCAACGATCTGATGGGCCAGGTTTCTCAACCGTGTAAGGGAGTTGTACGGAAGGCTGCACTATAAACTCTGCATTTCGCCGTAAGCGTGAAGTTGCGTCTGCGCTACAGGTGGCGTAGATTGCCAAAATCATCTTGTGCTTTTGCTATACGCTACGAAATACCAGCTTCAATCCCACGGGTTGCCAAGGTACTTGAATTCCTGAACGACTTCTAGCTGGTCATCATCAAGTGTCAGCGCAGATGTGGGTCCATGCCAAACTTGGAGAACTTTGCACTTCGATGGAGCCAAGCATAGCCCAAAACGATTGACAACCAGTGCTAATCGGTCCAGTGCAGCCTGGCACGTTTAGGCATTGTTGTCCGCATGCTCCAAGTCAAGAAGTCGCTCATCATGAAGTAGATCCACATGTTCTAGGTCGTGTCTAGCGATGGATGTTTCCATGAGTTTGTCAGTGGCGAAATTGAAGACGAAAGATGACAGCGGACAGTCTTGTCTCACACCAGTGGCGTTATTAAAGGGCGGCGACAGTTTTCCATAGACCCATATTCTACCCGAACTATGCGCGTACAGCCCTCTGACAATGTTTAGGTAGTTATCGGACACACCTTTCAGCAGCAGACAGTCCCAAATAACACATCGATCCACCGAAGCGTAGGACAATTGATTTGTAGGAACACAACAACGGTGGGTCGCCAATTAACATGGCGGTGCTCCAACCATGGATGTAATGTGAATATGTGGTCAATGCAGCCCCGACCTTGACGAAATCCGGCTTGCTCTTCACGAATCTGGCTTTCATGAGTGCCAGTCAGTCTGTGGGGAATGACGGACGCAAGCAATTTAGAGATTATTGAGATCAAACTGACCCCTCTATGGATATCACATTACGAATAGGAGCCTCCCATGAAAATTGGGTCTATGACCGAGCGACTCCAGTCTGTCGGGACAATTTCCCGCTCCCGAGCTTTCACTTCCAACTCGTGTAAATCATTCACAAGAGCTGGTCCCCCGAATTTGAAGAGAGCTGGGGAAATTCTGGCTGCTCCTGTAACCTTACGGGATTTCAGCTCTCTTATCTCACGTTCGACTTCTGCGCGTGAGGGCGGATCTAATGAGACGGCCCAGAGTGTGGGGCGATCAACGGCCGATGAAGAAGCTGACAGTTCTGACTGATTAAACTGATTCTAATACCTTCGGGCAAATGCTGCCTGCTGGTCAGTCTGAAAAAACTTGCGCACACTGAGGCATACCAGCAGTAGGGAGGATCAAGGGCTCCAAATAGTAGCAGATAAACTGTTGTCCGTTTTTCCGGACCTGGACTTAACGACGGAACCGGAGCGACGCCAAGCGATTGCGTGTGAGTAAAAACTAGAAGCTAAACGGTGACTAAACCAAGATGGGGGCGGAAAATTACAGATCAAAAGTAGTGGGTTCAAAACTGAAGTTGAAGCGGGACTACAAGGATGAAAAGCGCAAGAAGGGGGATAAGAAGACGGAAAGGCCTGAGCAATAGCATCCATATCCCTATCCGCCCTGCTTGATGAAACAGGTAGGGCGCCGTTTATTATCATCTTTGACGGCCAGAGCTTCAAGAAACTGTTACGAGAAAGGTTCATAGTATTGCCTGGGCAAGATACTGGCAATTTGCCCAGGTCTAGACAAGAGAAGGATCAAGGTTCTCAACCCAAACCTTTAGTTCATAAACCTTACCGCAAGGCAGCGGGCTTTTGGCACTGGACTACAGAGAGACCGTTTTAAAGAGTAAAGAGCCATCCTCACTCCACCCCCCACTCGGAGGGCAAGGAGACTAAGTTTGTCTGGTTTCTAACCATGGATCAATCTGTTCTGATTGGCTCTGAAGATGCAAAAGCACCACCCAGCATGGCCCAATGGATCGCTTAGGCACGCAAACCATCGAACGGCGTTAAGATCCACTGTCATCGCGATGGATCATATGGCAGCTGATGGTGACTGTTGAGTAAGTGAAAAATATGGCGGTTGGGTTACTACAGTGTTGGGGGATGTAAGTGGTGACACATCCAAGATTATGGGGATTTCCGGTGTGCTCGGATCTGATGGGAAGATAAGCAGCGAGTTGAGAACATTCCTTTTCAGAAACGTAAAATATTTGGTCCCCTTCAGCCACTTGGTCAAAGCAGAAAGAAGACACAGATTGCGATATGTTAACATTTCGATTGTTCTCGTCAGTCGCATACACAATACAAACAGAAACACATACACAATTATATACATGGCAAAAAATTGGCAAACCAATCAAAACGTCAAAATCAAGTCCAAGGCAATCGGATTGATTGCCTCAACAGTTTCTGTGCACATAGCACTGGTTGATAAGCCCTGATAAGCAACGCTTCACTGATTGCCAACATTATCGGGTTCCGGTTACGTAATAGCACTTTGAACGCATTCTTGGGGTCCACATTGTGACCAGTTGTCACGAGGTGCTTAGTGATAGATGATGACAGAGTCCGGTTCATTCTGGGAGGCGCTCCATTTTGTTGCGTCATCATTTGCTCGACCCACTTTGACAAATGTTCAGCCACTCTCTGAGCTAACCGGCGGTTAGTCCTGCCTATGTAAACGTCACTGCAACTGCAGGTGAACTGATAGACCACATGCGAAGGCGAACTAGCCGAAGGGTGGCTCTGATGGTCATGAAGAACAAGTTTTCGAGTCGTGTGCATGAGACGCAACTGAGCAGTCGTGTACGTGCGCGTTAGAGCGGACCTGAGCTTGTGTCCGATGTCGTTTGCCACCTGGTCTCCCTTGAAGGACAGGAACAGATAAACAACTTTTTTTTCTGCCGTTAGCACCGGCAGTTTGCGACTGACGAGAACAATCGAAATGTTAACATATCGCAATCTGTGTCTTCTTTCTGCTTTGACCAAATGAGAACATTCCCTCAATTCATTATGTACCCGGCTTTTTTGAGAAATCAAAATGGCTGCATTGGAATATTCATTTCACTGCACAAAGCAGTATGATCCACTAATTTTCGAGGGGTGATCGAACATGACTGCATATGATCAGTGATATTTGTGTCTAGTCGACTGCACCTCGTCAAGGATCGACTTACCAACCTGCATGACGTTTCTTTCAACCTTCCAGAATATTTCCCCATGGCTCGTTTATAAGTTTTTCCTAGTTCGTTGGTATAGTCAGCGATATGCGGATGCCAAGACCCGTTTTCTTGAAAGATTTCAAAGCGTAGGAGAATAGGACATCATTAAGTTAAACAAAAATAGTCCAACTCAACAATATTTCTAACTGGTTGTATGAACCGGATAGATCCACTGTAGATAGAGTAAAGATCATTGTGGCGGGGCCTTTAAATCGACCGTTGCCTTTCCGCCGAACATCGTTTTTTTACATTATCTGCCGTATACATCTCAATTTTGCAAGATTAAGCTGACAGATATTTTGTTCAATCAAATTCTAAGATCACTGAGACCCTCTGCTTCAACCACTTTTGAAGATAAAGCGACATATCGCGCATGATCCACTATCTACTGTCTTTGGACAAAACATTTTGAGTTAATTAAAAAGAAATTCTGAAGAAAAAACATGATGAAAGCTCTTCCATTTAGATTGAATACAAATCCTGAAGTGTTCGTTCAGTTTTTTGGATCGTTGCTCGCTCACTCTATGACAGTGCATTGCACGCATTTTTCTACTCATTTTTAAACAGTATTTTTATGGTAACTTTGGTACCTTGAAAACTGATAATCTAAAATGAGGAAAATGCGCCCATTTAGGTACCTAAAGCTTATACTTTGACTTGACTTGACTTGTAACAACCAATATGAAAGCCCTACAAAGGCATCGAACTATACTCACTCGGACTCTTAGAATCGTGTCTGCAAGAATATTGTAAGCATGGAGATGTAGTTCCTGTTACGCTTGTATTTATTGCGTTCAGTAATAACCTGCCGTTTCCAGTTACCCTCCAAAGTCTTTATTAGTGTTTGTGGGCCAATTGGAAGGATGAACTCGCATCTTAGTTCTATGCGATCGCACTCGCCGCTATTAAATATGTTGTTTGAGGTTAAGGATCCGGTTTTTTCTCAGTTTACTTTCATCAGAAAGCGTTGCCAAGCCTGGAGCAAAAGCTAAGCAAAGGTGGTGCTCTAGTTGCCCCAGGAGTTGCTGGTGAAAACAGCCCAGTAAATTTGTCGGATGAGCAAAGCGATTGCGAAAATCTACACTCAGCTGCCACTACTTCGAGTCGTTCCTTGGCTGCGTCACGATACTCGAGGCCCAAATCCCAGTCAACGACAATTCGAACCCGGCTAGAGGAGAACACTTTACCTCATGGAAGTGTTCGTCGGTCCGTTTCTGCTGCCTTAGCGGGTAGACGTCAACGCACTTCAAGTGTACTAAAATCATGCGGTAGCATCGCAGAGGGAACCGCAACTGAACATGATGCATTTTCTGCACAAATGCCATGGATAGATGCTGTAATCGATTTCGCTAACTAGTAAGTAAAACATTCGACACCGGTTGTTTTGCCGAAGATAGCATTTTGGTTGAATGATCCTTCACTCATTGCTTGTTTGAGTTTTCAGAACAGGAGACGTTTACAAACGTATTGTTAGGAAGCCATAAAGCGGAGCAGTGATCTGCTTTGCCGTAAACCAAGTCATTGTGTCCACCTGTAGCTTACGGAGCATTTTGTTCTGTTCCACAGCACAAACTTTACTTGTGAACACTATCCACATTGTCTCCCAAACTGCTTTGAGCGTCAACAGTATCAATTTCGTGCTCTGATGAAAGCTGTCGGACAGGTGTACGGGGCTGAAACTGAAAGCAGCTTTATAAAATCCATCGATCGGCAGCTGCGCGCCCGACCAGCTAACACTTCGCCCAAATTTGGTGAAGCGGAAGCCAAGAGCCTTGTTCCTGATGGAGAACAGACAGATAATTCATCAGCGTCCAACACCTCCCTACGCATCGGTCCAAGTGGAGGGTTGTACAACTCAGACCTAGAAGCCAGCCGCAGCACAGCAACAGGCGGGATATGCGGAGGCACAGATTTGCACCCGACGCTGTACCACGACAATGTCAGTGGAACAGCAAAGACAAGCGACAATGAGCTGGATCTTCTCACTTCGTTGCAACGTCGCGCAGAATCTGCGGCGCCTATGGAGAGACCCAAGACAAAATATGGTATATTTTCCAGATCTGCGAAACGGAAGGTAATTTTTACATGTTGATTTTCACGCATTCGTTTAAAGGCTGAAAGTTATGCCGTCTTGACGTAGCCTATCGTATGGTACTTCACCACCGCTGGGCTACAGTGACTTGCAGTTAAACTAACGCTTGTTCCGCATTACACTAAATCAGGCTTACTACAAATATTCACCCTGCTCTGTTGTGCTGCGGCACATTTACTGTCTAGTTTGCGTGTGATTGTGTGTTTGTTGTTTTCTATCCTCAACGTGGCTGCGCTTGAGTTTAAGGTTGACAAAGTGCCTAGCTGTCGAAATACCGCCACTTCGATTACGTTAGCTCCTGGAGACAGTTGGTGCTTGTTTGACTGTCTGGAGACACGGGGTGCATGGTCCTCGTGACCGTTCCAGGCACAAAGAGTGCTTCCATCCAGTGTGGAATGAGCTACGACTTAGCCACCGACTTGTGTAGGTCTGGTACACACAGGAATGATGCTGCTGCTCTTCATGTTGAAGGAGTGTGTGCCGGCTCCATTGATGAAACGTCACTCCGATCCACATGCTCCTCGGTCTTATTCCTTCAGGTGTACACCGGATATGGTGTGATTGGATGGAGCTTTGGGTAGTGCAGCGCAACCTCCCCATAGTCTCTCTGTAATCGCAGGTGTCCTGTGGCTGCCCTGTGGAGGTTGCAGTGCCAGGCAAATCCCGCTATCGGATGCCGCAAAGCTTGCGTTCTCTTCTATACATAGTTTGACTTGGTTGGCCAGGTTCAGTGTTCTAACCGATGCACGCACACTGTGAAAATGACTTAGTTTCTCTCGTTAGGGGTTTTACGGTCCTAAAATACAGGGTACCACATTCGACAAAATTTCAATTGGTATTATTCTGTTCGGGTTATAACAGTAAGGTAAGCATTGTAAACGTTATATCTAAAACCCGGACTGATTAAGTATACTGACTGTTACCTGACAAAGTCGCACTGCTGTGATGTTATAAAAACATCTCCACGCACCGGAGCGTTTACCGAGAAATCAGTTAGCATAGAAAACGAATGCGTGTAACCATAGAGGCGCCGTCGAAGCTATTCCATTAGTTTTACACTGAATAATAGGGAACCATTGAACAGATAACTTGCTTTTCGTGAAATTTCGTGAGCTATCCGTGTAGAATTGTGTTTTTGCCGGTATTAACGTATATCTGATTTTCAAATGATATGCACTTTCTTTCATGAAAGTTGTCCACTATTTAGGTCGCATTAGCGTCAGTTCGCTGTTCGAAAGCATCACTCGATACGATGAAGGCACTGGCTAAATCCCTCGTGCAGTTTATCCGTTGGGTTCCGCAGGTATCCATACCGCATTTCACACAACATTTCTCTTTTCTTTCTTTCCTTTATTATTGTCGTTACCAAGTTATATTAACATGGAGACCCGGGTAGTATTAAATAAATTCATTGCACGTCGGATCATTGCTGTTTACTTGAACTGAACTGACCACAACATTCCCAACCTTCGCTTTTCAAGGAATTACATTTTCTGGGCCACAATAATAAGGGTGAAAGTACACCATTGTTGGAAAAACTGCGTTTACGAGTGAGAAACCGTCAAAGAAACAATGGAGTATCAGATCCAGAAACTGCTGGATTGAGTAGCCTTCTGGGACTGGGGGTCCTTGCCGGCGCTGGTGCCGGACTATTGCGGACCTCTCTCAGTGGAGTCGGTCTTTGTGGCAACTACACGGACACCGATGATTATGGCTCACCCGATCCAGCGAGAACAGACTCGCGAAGAGTGTACCGTAACCTGAGTAATCCCGAACTGCCGATTCAACGTTACCTACAGAATCAAGTACGTCACTCACTGGATTATTTTTTGATGGGGAATTCTGCACTCGTTGTATGGCTTTGGCAGTTATTCACAGATTATTGGCTACTATTGCATGTTTGGCTTACGCTTAATTGAATGTGGCACTACATATAGTGTCCATAAAAGCGAAACAGCAACTTGCACCCGGTCAACAGGTAGTGGGCAGCGGTGAACAGTTCCTAGATAATGTGGCGTCATGTTATGTGGGAAATATGCCAGAGCGACGATTCGTCATCCAAACATGAAGTCATTCAACTTCTTTGTGTTTACGAACTCGCTTAAAAACAGCCAACTTTCTGCGCGACGACATCGGAGTCAGTCCAGCCATGTCTGAGTTGGTTTCATTACATATCACTGAACGCAGTGGACAAACCCTTTGTTTGCTAGCCAATGTGTCAATCATTTCTAGGCGCTACTGACCACCTATTCATCTGCTTTTCCCTTACTGCTAAACCAACCAGCAAGAATCTTGTGTGCCACAGGCATGGTCTATGAGTTAAGCAAATGTTAGAGATGTCGCGCTTTGCAATCAAATTAGTTCAAAAATTGATTACATAAAAGGGTAGTGGTTATACGGAAGCATCATTATTCTTATAAATTAACGTACCTACGCATGTATGTTTTTAGACATCAGCGTAGAGGATCCTGATAGGCTTCTTGCTTGAACGACTAAGGCGTTTGCAAAGCTTTTCACGTTTGATCATATTGAGTGTACCTCTCACCTTAACAACTTGCTTCCGACTAGAATATTGTCCGTTCCACTGAGCGTCTCCTCCCACTGCTAAAGTCTCTAGCAATGCAGAGATTACCCTTGAATTAGTGCGATTTTCTAGTAGAATCGCAACAAATTTTCCGTGTTGGCAGCGTGTCTGTTCAAGATACGGTTATTAACGGGCTAGAAAGGAAGCGAGAATTCACAATAGCCCGTCACTCATCAAGTCATGACCGCCCGATCGCTTGGATGCTATCATTTCACTGACTAGTAAAGCCCTGCAGGCAGTTGAGACAAACTCCCAACAGTCACTATTTGGATGATACCAATTCTGGCAGCTAGTACCTAAGGTTATTAAAGTCGCATAAGATTTTATTTCGTTCAGTACAATTCAGATGACAATCATCCGTTCTCAGCACACTTGACATCATTGCATGACATCATTGCATGGTAATATATACATCCAATAGTGGAATACACTTTAAAATATATGAATAAACAAAGGGTGCCGGACTTTGCCTTAGTTTCATGCTTACCTGTAATTATGATAGAAACGTTCTGCTTTTGTGCTTACAACCATTGCGGTTATTAGCGGAGCAATTTGGTGCCTACTGCCGCTACATCAGCCTAAGGCAAATCGTATGCGTTTGGTTATATTAACCCACACGCCGTTAATAATTTGTCAAGCCTTCCGACAGGATAAATTTAACCGTCATTACGATTTGTCTGGTTGAATTCGGAAAGAGTGTCCGTACTTTATAAAGTGATCAGTAGTAGCTGCTTATCGTGTCCAACTTCGCTGTCGCAAGGTTAGTCGGAACCTGTTCCGGACGCAAGAACTATAGCGTGCATTTAGTCGTTTTATTCAGCTACATTCCCAACTTACTACAATTGATATTGTCCCCATGGCAGGTTAAAAATCTGTGTGGCACTTCCTTCAATTTACTGTGCAAAGCGGCTCTTCTGCTCTCCAACGAGCAACTGTCTAAAGTCGTCCCGCTCGCATGGGAGCTACTACTAGAACCGGACGAAGAACTTGTATCAAGTGCCTGTAAGTTATGGAACAGTTTCGTGTTGTGCTTAAACTGTACACACCACTTTTTGCCTCATAGGTTGTTTGTTAGGTGTTTCGTCGTTCATATCTAACAAGTGCGATGCATTAATACCGAAAACTGTGAACTCATTCACTCAATAAAATGCGCTACGTGAGACATCATGCTACTCAATCGTTAATCCTATTGAATATAATAGCTATAATTTGTCTAGCAACAGGATACACTACAAAGGAAACTGAATACGTTAGTGTGGACTGATTCACTTCAACGAACAATCGATTATAATTACTAGACACGTAACGGAACAATGGTTTCTAACGGGTAAAATAGCACAGACTTTACATGCACGTAGTTTGGTAGAAGAAGTTTAAAAGGAAATTGAAATAAGTGGACCAAGTAAAATACGCAGCGGTGAAGCCATAGAGTAATGACTTATATGAGGTGGGCTTCGGCAGTGAGATAGTGCAGGGCAAAAGAAAATAACAAATTTTCATAGTTGTTACTCACTGCACATAATAATCATATAGCTCGCCCCTCTACACAGACTTAGATGAGAACCTCTGGGTCATTCATACAATTCAATTCAATTCATTCATTCAATTCGACATCTAATCGTCTTTTTTTGAAATCAGCTAAGGTGGACGCATGGACAACTTTTCAGGGTTGGCAGACCCGGAGGGATATTTACGTCCGTCGACAATCTAGACGACTGTGTTGTTGACTCAGTTTCAGGCTAGTGCCTCTGAGGTTGGTGTTCGCGCTGAGTTTCTGTAGGTGGCGGCATGTATACGCTGGAGTCGCTCAGTATTTGGTAAACTAATAATAGCTCTCCATGTAGCCACCGGTAACGTACACTGAACACCCTGACTGACTTCAGTCATTGATTGTACGGAAGATGTTGTAATCCCTTGAAAAAATTTCGTTGCTCGATCTTGGGGTGTTTTGAGCACGACAAAGTCACGCTTTAGCCAAGGAGGCCAAGCCTGGATTGCTTATTCGACGTGGGGACGTACGTAGGCGTTGAGAAGCAAAGAGAACATGGGTGAATCTAAACTCGCGAATGTCCTCCTCAAAATATAAAACATGCTGGTTACCTCTTTTTGGTGATGACTCGGACTGCCTGGAACAACCGAAGTTGTCCTGTACCAACACACCGAGGTCACATTCCTGACTGCTTGTCTGCAGATCGTGCGTCCCAAGCTTGTAAATGTTAGGCGTGTCGATGGTGGACAACGCTACACTTTGAATAACAGAGTTCCTCACCGGCAAATGCCATGTTTCATGGAGGTCAGGCCAGAGGCTCTCGTAGTAGTCCATTCGCTTGATCGTTCGCCAAATTTTAATGTCTTCCGCGAAGAGTAAAACGTTTGTGGTGACAACTGTCGCTGCATCGTCACTGAAAACTAAGCAAAGGCGAGGTCTAAGTACCGAACCCTGCGGCATGCCGAACTCCACTGGAATCGGGTCGGACGGAGATGGTCGTACTCCAACCTCCAGTTGCCGTTCGCAAAGAAAAATATTAATGCATGGTATTACTGGATCTTCGATGCCGTAGTACTGCAGTTGGTGCAGGCGGATTCTATGATCCAATCAATCGAAGGTTTTCGGAATATCCCTGTAAATACCATCGGTTGTTGTCCCCTCGTTGATATTTCCGGCTCAGTTAACAAGTACTCTCAGCAGATTCGTGGTACATGATCATTTTCGCTAAAACGTGTGCTGCTCCGGCGCAATAATGCCGTAGCATTGCAACTGGCCCATCGATGCGTCTGTGATGATTGCTTCCACGGCTTTGGTGAGCACAGGGGGAAGCGTTGCTGGACGTTAATTAGTAGGATCAGATCTACTTCTTCCCTTGTCAATCAGGGCCGTAATACTCCTTTTTCACTTTGATGGGACTATGTTTTCGTCTAGAAAAGGCTAAGATTCAGATAAGTTGTTGCACTAGGTGCTTGTAATGACTTAGGCTGAATTTTATCCACTTCAGGAGAGCTGTGTGTATGCAGGGATAGTCGCTTTTACAGCACCAATGCCGCGGTGAATGTGTCGCTGGATAACACAGATGGTATGTTGCCAAAAGCAAGCATAGCATTCCAGGATTGTACCCGCTGGAAAGTAGCTAAGTTCTAGGCCCGCCTCTTTCGCTGTGTGTGTATACTCACCAACCTGTATTGAGTGGTGGGTTTCCGCGCTGCACTTAACGAAATCTATTGGCGTGTCTGTAAGGAAGCTTGTGGCTCAAGCACAAGCTTTGCGCTAGCTCCTGTTGAAGTACTGTCTTTACGAACCCTCTGCACAAAGTATTTGCGCTAGACTACGTACCCTGTCCCATTTTCCGCGTTGGAATTGTTTTGGAAAATCGCCATATCCGATCCCTCAAGGCCATAAATTTGCGTGTCCATCTCCTCAGAAAGCATTTTGATTTGATGAAACGATGGAAAGCTTTTGGATCGGATGCTTTTGTGACTAGTGACGTGGAGGTGTTCAAAATGTTTCTCAGGCTACTTCTATGGTGCACTCAGTTATGTATGTGCAACTAGCGTGTTCAACGAATGCGGACACAGAGGGGTAATGCGTAATAGATTGCATCATTGTGGGCTCTGCATTGGGGTACTCGGCATAGCCAATATAATCGAACGTTAAAGTCACGCGATCTTTTCGACACAGAGAACTTCACTCCTATAGCCCATTAATAATGAGCTCCTCGCTGGTGAGCACTAGATCCAACATTGATGGCTTATTGGCTGTGCTGAACTTTGTAGGAGCGGCGACGTAGTGGTACAGGGGTGTGCTCTTGTACATATATCTTGAACTAATCTCTCTCGGTTGCCGGAGTTTTCAGACCATGGATATCGAAATCTCCTGTTATGAGGCTATGGGTGCATTTCTGATTTATCAAGATACGAAATGCAGATATTAATCTCTTTTCCATCTCCAGAGTGGGTTTGGGCGGCCTATAAACTACGGACAAGATGCATGTATCGTCGTCCTCCAACCACAGTTTGCACCAAAGTAGATCATTGACACGTTTGGGGATTAGCTACGAGCTCACAACGAAGATTTGTTGTATAATAACTGATCACTCCTCCTCCCCTACCCGTTCTGTTGTTCTGGAGAAATGACATAGCGGGTAAAGCGATCTCCGCGGTTATCTCACAGTTCATTCACCTTTCGGTGATCGAGGCTCGGAAACCTGACAGTGATGAAGTTCGACCAACCTAATGATTAGTCTTTGTGCGTTAGTATACAAGAATACCACTTTCTTAGTAGCCAAAAGTGAATACTTGGATGATGAACTAGGATTGAGAATTGTGCCGACCGTTGGGTGGTCGGGCACTAACTGTATTTATGGGTTGTTAAATTGTAAGTTTCGGTTGGTTTATACGACTGCTCTCGGCTGTTCTCGCCCTGATGGTCACACATGTTTAGTCTTATTCCGTCGGATGCTGAGGGTTCCAATAAGTCAATCTCTTCACAGAGCTGTATGAGGGGAAGATTAACCAATTTCGTCCTCCTTAATTAGTCGATAGCCACCCGTGGTAGTGTACCCGCTGCTTTTCTCCGAAATTATGTAGGCAGCTACTCGCGGAATTTGTACCAGTTTTCCAATAGTAACAGTGTCATCAGCTCAGACTGAAGTATTACCTTCACCAACCTGTAATCATACCCCTTGTAGTTGAGTGAACCTGGATGTTCGAAGTTTCGGAACACCGTAAACATTTATCGTCCGTTTTCCGTCGGATCTACGAATTTCAGCAAGGTTGATTTTCTCTTTCGGACCTTTGTTCCAATGTATTGTCCGGAAATATGCACACCTCCTGTGATGAGTTACGGAGCCGATTCGCAAACGTACCCTCTCCTGGTTTCAAATGATATGGATCTAGCGTCTATTGAGAGGAAGCATGACCGGGGATGCTAGCTACTGTCTTCTACAAAGCTACTAACCTGCGTGGCAGTGGAAGATAGTTCGTGCTACCTCCTAGTTAGCTTGCAAATTATGCAGCTCAGCCGCTGTCCTCCATGGTTTAGTGGCCTTATCTGCTGGTTACTTGACGTTAGCCCCTAGCGTTCATGGGTTTGATCCCAAGTAGGGGACCGAGGTAATGCCCACCACTGACGAGCCCTAATAGAGCGAAACGCGTCTGGTGCGTTTCCGGATCGTGGTCGAGCTACTCAACTTGTGAGCTGCTGGAACGAAAACAATAAAATTATAACTAAAGTCCTTATACTCATAAGGAATCGGAGCTAGGCGAACGGCCTCTGTGCCATTAGCGGAATTAATTGTTATCCAAGTAAATCGAAGTTCAGCGGAATGTGTCATGGGTTCAGTGTCGTGGGTTCAGCAGAAATTCTAGCTTCACCAAAATTGAAATTCCGCTGAGTATGGCCTCCCGTCAGCTTCCCCCTCATAGTATAGGCTGCGATTCTGGGAGGCTTGTGTACACAACAGTCGACGTACCGTGATTTCTCTTTTTGGCTGCAGGTGTAATGGTATTAATTCACACCGTTTTAAATGGGTTGGTTGTTTGTGAAGCTGCTTCACCACAATATTGCTCGGTGCTGCCACCGGAGTAAAGCGTGTTTTCTCCAGCGTTCGCTTGGAGGCAACTGGTGCGTACGATGCTCGGCAGTTCTCTGTGGTGGACGAGCTCGGGCTTGGTGCGGCCAGTATCGCCACTGTCTTGATGTAGGGTGTACTAATGTAAAGTGTGGAAGCATACATGCTCGATGCTTGTCCGCTTATGGGGATGAGATGAGCCGGAAGATCTGGATACATGGACCTGCAGTGTGGGTGGAGCGTCTGGCTCTCTTCTTTTGCCAAGTGGAAGAGCTTGCATTGGCTGGTAGAGGTATTATCCTAGCTATATTTACCTTCGAGAGTGCGATCAGACTATTCACCAAATGCGCGATTGTATCAGCCAACCTAGCTTATTTCTTCACAAGCACATATAAACGATTGACAACTGGAATGACTTGACATGTTGGACAAAATCAA